ACAACTCTCAGGCTTTTGTACTGAAACAACTGAGTGAATAGTGAAGCCATTTACTGATTTTGGGGAAGCAGGAGAGGACCGTATGTGTGAGAAAAAGTTATTGTTCATCTTTGGACCTGCTGAGTTGGAGGCAAGCAGGTATAGTCTAACTGGTTCATGTCCAGAGAGCATTTGGATGTAAGAATTTTAGAAGCAAGAAAATGGTTTGGACTGGAGATATGGATTTTGGAACAACCAGAAGAGAACAACAAATTTTGAGCCAACAGAAAAAGAAAACTTTGTTCTCACCCATATTTACAACAGCAGGAAAGTGATATTTCTGGATTGGGTTACAAGATGACACAAGGGCTCAAAGCTTTGACCCTAAATTATTTTGACTCTGCTCTATACAACCATGTGAGCCTAAGTGTGGTGACTTACGTCTTTGAGTTCAGTTTTCATCTGTAAATTGGGAGTATAAAAAAATGCATGTGGTGGGCTGGGGATTTAGCTCAGTGGTTTCGCTGCATGCTGTGCAAGCTCAAGGACCTGAGTTCGATCCCCGGTTCCAAAAAAACAAAAACAAAACAAAAAATGCATGTGGTTTTGTAAGAATGAAATACAACAATGACTGTAAAATTAATAATGGAGTGTTTGGCATGTAGTAAGTGCTCAAGAAATGAGACGTATCTTTATTTTCATTGTTGTGCTTTTTTTTTTTTTCGGCGGTACCGGGGATCAAACTCAGTACCTTGTACTTGCTAGGCAGGCGCAGTGCCACTGAGCTAAATCCCCAGCCCCTATTGTGATGGTATTTTACCTGTTTAGGTGAACTTGCTGTATGATAAACAGTCTGTGGTTTATTAAGAGGAAGGGCTGAAACTCTGTCACATAAGGAACAGTTAAAGAGCCTGGAGCTGGTCAGCTTCAGTACAAGAGGCTTGAGATAGCGCTTTTCAAATACACAAGTGATTTGAAGAAAAAGAAGATAGAATTACCCTGTAGGATCCCAGAGGGAAAGATAGGTCAAATTGACAGGAGGAAGGCTCGGGTAAGCTGAATATAATAGGAATCTTCTAATAGCCAAAGATCTCTAAAGATTGTCATTTTTCAGGAAGTAAGGACTTCTTCATAATTTCTCTAAATTAGAGATCCTATTATTGCAATTGGGAGAGTCATCCTTGTTTTTGGAGATGGAGTTGGATGTGGGCTTACTAATTGCATATAGAGCTAGTGCTCAGTTTGAATAGAGTGTTTAGTTATGGGCTGGGGTCTTGCACAAATTCATTAAAATTTATGAACATTAAATTATAACGTTCAGTCTTATACTATACTTATTTTATCACCATAAAAGAGATTGTTTTATTCACTGGGTTGGGCAGGAGCTAAGATATTTTAGACAGGAACACCTCCCTCCCCTGGGGCCGTGTCCTACGGCCCCCCTCTCCAGATCCCCACTGTGCACCGCAGTGCCATGGGTCCAGGGCACACACTATCCAGGAGAGCTGCTGCATTGTTCTGTGACCCTCTTACCCCTGAATGTACCATTATCCCTACCCTCCCCACCTTTCCCCCCAAAGCCTCAGGAAAGATACAGTGCTAAGTAATAAATTAGAGGAGAGCCAGATTTTAAATCTCACCAACCGGAGTTTACCTTCTGATAGTAAAATGGAGGGAAAATAGAGTGATGCTTCCACGATTTATGGGCTTCTTTCCCTTCGGAGGTTTTCCAGTTGCATCTTTGTGCTAGGCCTGACATTTATGATATAAGGAATTAATATCTGGAAAGAAGAGCTGCTGGTGCTAATTATTCAGACCTGCTCTGACAGTGAACTGGTGAGCAACACTCATATGTCAGATCCTATCTATGCATTAATTTCTTCACTTAAAATAGGTGGGAATTATGGGGCACTATGGTCTTTCACTGTACAGATTTCACAGAGCCTCTGGGGGATATACTAGTAAATCAGCCATGATAGGGCTGCTGAAAAGCAAGTCAGTACCTGTCTGATAAATAGAATCCTTGGGAAAGTCTTTGAATCAAGAAATGTGCCAGCGACATTAAGAGGACATGAGGGAGGAAAATGCAAATGATGGAACTAACTTTTCTTAATTCAGAAAGGAAAATGCTTGCTTCCTCTTCCAATTCTTCAGGTTGTCAGATGTGCCTTGTTTTTAGTAGCTATTTGTAATATTAATCATTTTAATAGTATCAAACAGACTGGGTTTTTACACTTGATAAATTTTTGATGTTGAACCTTTGAAAAATGCAGTGGTGTGATTTTCTTCCTCAGGAGTTTCTCCCCAGAAGTCAGTGTTAGTTTGCAGATGCCAACACATGACTAACGGTTTTATCTCAAAAGATTAGCACACATTAAATTAACATAGGACTAAAGCCTCAGGACTGTACAGCCTTTTTTTGTGAGAGAATCTGGGCTTTATGAGTTGGACAGACAGCTGGGCAGACTTCTGAGGGATAGTAATTGGTTAGTCAGTTGGTCAGTCAGCTTGATGACCCATTATTGCTTGCTCTTTTTCTTGTCAAAGAGGGAGAAATGTGCCTTGCCCCAGGTGATGTGTGACAATTTTAGTGAATGAAATTCCCTTCCCTTCTGATTGGCTGAGGGGAAAAGAGGTGATTCAGTTCTGGCCAATGCAGTGTAAGAGAAAGGGATATCTGGATGAACTGAAGGCAGAAGGGATAGTGGCTCCTGGAAAAGAAATAAAGGAGATCACCATGTGATAGTTATTCCTTCTCATCTCTACTAATTTCTTTCCTAATGTTGGATATTGTTGTGAAAAAACTGGGACCTGGAGCCAGCAATCATTCTGGATTATGAGTGGAGACTGTGTTCAGGTGATAGATCAGAAAGACAGAAAGACCCTGGGCCTCAATGTTGCCATCAAGCCATTGATTTATCCTAAGTGGTTGTTTCCCACTTTTCTTGTTGAGAGTCAAGTTCATTATAACGCCTAGCCAGTGGTGGTGAACCTATGGCATGTGTGCCACATCAGACTTGTTTGTATCATTGAAAGCTCTTAAAGGTTTGCCATCACTGGCCTAGACCATCAGTTTCTCAATCATGCTGTTTGTTGAATGAAAAGCACTTTCTTAAACCATATTACAGTGGTCTTTCTCATCCACAGTTTCAGTTAGCCATAGTCAACTAGGGTCTGAAAGTATTAAGTGGAAAATTCCAAAAATAAACAACTCATAAGTTTTAAATTTCATGCTATTCTGAGTAGCATGATAAAATCCCATGCTGTCTTATGCCACTTCACCCAGGATGTGACTCATCCCTTTGTCCAGTGTATCCATGCTATATTCACTACCTGCCCATTCATATTCTAGTAGCCATTTCAGAAGATGAATTATTGAAATATTGTAGTGCTTATGCTCAAAGTAACCCTTATTTTACTTAATAATGGTCCCAAAGCACAAGAGTAATGATGCTGGCCATTCAGATATGCCAAAGAGAATCTGTAAAGTGCTTCTTTTAAATGAAAGGGCAAAAGTACTACTTTTACTACAATGTGTTGTTATAATTGTTCTATTTTAAATTTATTGTTAATCTTTTACTGTGCTTAATTTACATATTAAACTTTATCCTAGGTATGTATATACAGGGAAAAGCCCTATGTATAAGTTTTGGGACTGTCTGCAGTTTCAGACATCCAGTGGGCGTTAGGGAACATGTCCCTCATTAATAGAGTGTTGGGGGGAGCAACACACTATAGTAATTTCTTAGATATCTGACTTCCCATTCTAATTTAGTCTATAAAATTTTCACACAAAACCATGGAAAGACATGGTTCCATCTTCTAACAGTATTGCAGATGAAAAGTTTTATGTCAATTTTAAGTTTTCTTTAACTTTTTTCTTGATCTTTTTAGCTTTCTTTCATTCTTTAGTGTTTAAGTCCATAAGGATGGAATTGGGAGTGGGAATTTATATACTATATTTACTTTGCTTCATACTCAATCTGAAATCAAATTATTATTATTATTATTATTTTCAAATGTAAAATGATCTCTTTTTAATTACTAAATTAAGAAAGTTAAACAATTTTAAAATGTAAACACAAATAAATCATAACAAAAAAGGAATTAAGATTTCAGAGTTGCTACTCAGTATTAAAAACTCAATAGAAATAGGATTTTTGATTTGTTGTTAAACATGTAATTCAAGGTTGGTACAAACAGCAGCTAAAAATGTAATACTTTTTTTTTGTGCATCCCCATGAAATGTAAAGTAGTGCATAGTTATTCCACTGAAAAACTCTGGAACATATCAAGTCATCATCCATTAGCAGTACAGGACATTTAAAACACTTATTTTACAATGGGACATGTACACCCCCCCCCACCTTCCCCATAAATTTTAGTTGCATGAGAAAGTTTAGTAGGTTGCCATGACTACAATGTTATGGGTTTTAGACCATTTAAATCTGGTTACAAGATTTATTAAATAAAAAACATTTGAAACATTTCAGCATTTATATTTTTATACAAGAAGTTTGTGTGGTATCCATCTTCCAGTTCTCTTGGTAGGATTGGTTGCTTGCTTAAATACATTCACTTTTAAGTTTCAAGAACAAATTGAAGCAAGTTAGAGCAAATACAGGTAACAGAACCTATGAACTTAGCCCAAGGGTTCCTGAAAAGAGTCAAAGTAATAATCATCTAAGAGTACAGCTGTGAACCAAAAAAATGCAATCCAAATGAACAGAAAGAAAGAAACAAAGAAAGAAAGGGAAAAAAAAGGAATTATGCCTTGCAAAAACCAAAAATGAGGCCACTGGATTGCAGAGTAATACCAGTGCATCGATGCAGATAAAATCTTCCCTCTGGGTCCTGAAGGCCCAGGCTGACCACGGCTCCACACAGCACCCACATGGTATATGTACAGGGACATATATTATATATACTCATATTTATAAAAAAGAAAAAACCAAACATCTGTCCTGATTGTTTTTTGTTAAAACATGAAAAAAAATTTATTGTTTTAGACAAAGAGGCCACTTTTGGAAAATAATACTTTTTTTTTTAGTTGAATCAGGTGAAGACAGAGTTAAAATCACATAGGATTTGTGTCTTAAAAAAAGGAAAGCACTAGGATTGTTGGCACTGGAGTAACTATTTACACTGGACAGAGGTTTAGCCTTTTACATAACATCGATACAATGCATTTTTCCAAAGTTTGAGAAATAACAAGGTTCTGTCTCATATGCTTCACAGAGGAGGTTTGGATTTGGGGACAAGTGTCATTAATGAGGGCTGTGGAAGTTCATCAGCTTCAGAGTCACATGCAATCTGATCCTGGATGGTTCTTGTTGCTCAGGGCAGCTGGCTACAGAATTGAAAGCTAATGGGTAGGGGTGGGGAGCCTCGGGGAAAAGGCCTCTGCAGACCTGGCTCTCACAGGTTCTCACCGGGCTGGTACTGGGGCTCTGTGGCAGTAAAGTAGTCTTCCAGAAAGCCCTGCAAGTACTCAAAAGTGGGACACTCTTTGGGGTCCTTTTTCCAGCAGTGGATCATGAGCTTCTGCAGAGAGATGGGGCAGTCCTGTGGACAAGGCATCTGGTAGCCATGCTCCACCTGCTCCAGCACCTCCCGGTTGTTCATGCCTGGGTATGGCACTCTTCCTTTGGTGACCAGCTCTGTGAGTAAGATTCCAAAAGACCACAGGTCAGACTTGATTGTGAACCTCCCATATAGAGCTGCTTCAGGGGCCGTCCACTTAATGGGAACTTTGCACCATTCATCCGGGCCCCCAGGGAATGATGCGAAGCTGAATCCCAGGCTCCGTGAGGCACCCACCCAGCATCCACTGGCTCCTGGCCCCACAGCCTTCATACACCTCTGGCACTGGGACTCACACACAGAAGAAAGCTTGTCTGTTTCCATTTCAGCCCTTCCTAAACCGAATGTTTAAGTCTCACAATGTCGTTAGCCTGCTCTCTTTCCAGGTTGGAGGGGTCACACAGGGCAGGGCTCAGACCATGGTCACTCAGACACCCTTGGCTCACCTTTTCTCAAAGTCAGGTCCACACTCTCCTCTGCACTGCCGTGCCAATCGAGGCTTCTGGGTGCCTTTGATTAGAGATTCAGCAGCCATCTGGATCTGCGAGTGTGTATGTGCTCACTGTGTGGGCATTTGGCTCTGGGACAAGAACTGTCACATGTTGGGGAAATTCAAATAGCTGAGCTGTCTGACCAATATGTAATCGAGCATTTGGCCGGTATCTGTACCAGCCAGGGTCTTGGTTTGACATTTTCCCTCATCACTTGAGACTGCTAAGAATGTTTCTGTCCTCAGAATGTAATAAAAGGGGGAAAGAACTGGCATGAAATGAAGAATCAAAAGGGAAAGGAGGAGAAGAAAAAGAATTCCAGAGATGGCCAGTATGAAATTCAGTAGAACGCACCACCCTGTCCTGTGTTCCAGCCACTGCTCAACTTTGCTTGGAATGATGGGACTTCAGTTAGCAACAACAATGAAAGCTACCCCCCATTCCTGGTGTTATAATCCACATAGGAGGCTACACTTACTCACAGATTTCCTACTTAATTCTAAACATTTTCCTGGTGACTACTACATGAAGATCCAAGAAGAGAGAAGTTATCCCTGGAAATTCCTTCCTGGCATCTCTTGTTCTCATTGCACCCCAACTGCTGCCCCACTGGAGTGGCTGCTAGGTTGGGCTGTGTTTATTTCTATGAATTTTTGCAGAGGTGAGGCAGATGATGCCGGAGGGTGGGGCTTTCTGAGGCACTTCACTGTTTCCATCCAGTCCCTCTAGAATTTCTATCCTTCTCCCTGCTTGGACCCATGAAAATTCACCAACGGGCTCCTCTGACCTCTGGCTTCTGTCTGGGCTTGGCAGGAGAGCGAGATCTGGATTAATCTCCAATGCATCCCTGCACTTTGCCTCTTCTCTACCAGGAGGCCCTATTGTTCTCATTTCTGCTCTCAATCCCTGTCCTTTACCAATCAGGCCCTGGCTCTGTTGCTGTCACTAGCTCTGAGTCACTGTACCATGACCTGTTGGTTTTCCTAAACCCTGCCTGCGCTTTTGTAAAGACTCCTTTATCAACATCTCCATTTTGAGTGTTCCTCCTGTTTTCTGCTGGGACTTTGAGTGAGCAATGAGCTCGAACATGACTTATCCCTTGGCTTTCCATAGCCCTCTTTGTTCAGAAGCAGAGTATCCTGGGTCTGGAGACTTTGAGGAGGGTGGCATGAGCAGAAGGACCATAGAAGTGGACATCACTCACTGAAACACAGTAAGTACCTCATCCATCCACTAAGTGCACTGCAATCTTCCACCTGCAGAGATGTCAAACTCTTGACAGATCAAAGAGGAAAAAAAACCCAGCAAAAGAATGACATTTCAAATATTTTCTGTAGGAAGAGAAAGGAAGGAGGAAGACTTATGCAATAAAGAGCTACTATTTGCAAAGATGCAATCATGAGTCATCACCATTCAAGTGCCCACCTTGTCTTGCTGTGTACTCATTGTCTTCAATTAACTGGGCCAATCCAAAGTCAGCGATCTTGCAAATTAGTCCATTTTCCAGTAGAACGTTTCCTGATCGCAGGTCTCTGTGGATATAATTCATGTGCTCAATGTAAGCCATTCCTGCAGCAACCTGTGCTGCCATGTCCACAAGAATTGGTAATTTCAGAGCTCTTCCTTCACCATCTTTTAAGAAATCAAGTAAGCTTCCTTTATTCATGTACTCGGTGACAATGTAAATGGGTTCTTCAGACACCACTGCATACAGCTGGACCAACTTGTCATGCTTCAACTTCTTCATGATCTATGCTTCCTCGAGGAATGATTCAGGGGACATTGTGCCTGGTTTAAGAGTCTTTATGGCTACTTTTGTATTTCCATTCCAGGTACCAAGCTACACTTCAGTGAAACACCCCTGCCCCAGTTTCTTCTCCAGAAACCATGAATCACTTGCAACTTCCCAAGCATCTTTAGCCAATCCAGAAGTTTGTGGGGCACAACTCGATGGAATCCCAGTTAAGTTAAAACACAAACCATCAGCTTTCTCCATCCATACTTCCCCAAACTGCCCATTGCCCAGTCTCTTGATCAACTGCAGGGATTCTCGAGGGATTTCCCAGACATCTTTGGTTTTGACAGACAGATCGGTAAGCCTTGGCATCCCTTTGTGACAGGGGACTACTAGGTGGCAGCAGAGACCTGCGGCTCTCTCTGAGTAATGTTGTACAAGCTGCTGAAGTGTTTCAAACTGGGCCTGGGTGGTGATATAGTATCCACCATTGTCAAGATTGCGAATTTTATAATGTTTGACATGGTCTCCTTTCATATCATCCCAATCACGGATAGAAAGTGAATAGGCACCTTTGGTGGTTTCGCTCTCACGGATAAGAAAGGTACCTCTTGGATTTCCAAAGGACAGAAGCTGTCTCTCAGCATCTGTGCGGCCAAGTTTTCCAAAGTACCACTCCTCTGCTTCTATAGAGTCAACTGGTGCCACATAATTGCTGGGAATGTAACCTGTCTCTCCAGTTGTCAAGGAGCGGGCTTCCCACCAGTCTCCTTCCGAGCTATTTAATATTTGAAATTTTTCTCCTTTGTGAAAGCTCAGGTCATCTTCTGTCCGTGCTTCATAGTCATAAAGAGCCATGAAGAGTGTCACGCCTGTGCCTCCTCTCGTCCACAAGGTCCCCGTGTGAGACAAGGAATTCACACCTGCAAAGACGGTGAGCCCTTGGCCCCCGGCTGCATGGAAGTTGTTGTAGTTTGGGATGGAGGTCACACCGAAGCTGGGGTAGTGCTGAGGAGTGGGGTCTGTGCCATAGCGGTACCCGGAGCTCTGGGTCAGGCTGCCATCCCTCTCCTCCGTCAGTTTTGTTTCTTCTTTGTCCTTACATTGCACACAGCCCATTATCTAAATTCTAAAATTTCTGCCAACTACCACAAACTTTATATACACCACATGTCTTCTAAAACAGCGGCAGGACTGGTCTTTTTCCACATCTAAATCAGCATCCTTCCTCTTCAGAAATCTGCGTGGCGCCCGGCCCCGGAGCACAGCACATGGTCCTCTCCCCGCCCTCCTCCGCCCTCCTCCGCCCTCCTCCGCCCTCCTCCGCCCTCCTCCGCCCTCCTCCGCCCTCCTCCGGCGCGGCCAGGCGTCTCCGGCAGCTCCGTGCGTGCCCGGAGCCTCGGGCCTTCTGAGGGCGCCGAGGGGGCGGCGCCGGTGTCCCCGGCCCGGCGTCCCGGTCCCTCCCTGGCGCGGGAGGCGGCTTTGTGTGCCCCCCGGGAGACCTCGGTGCGCGCCGGACGGCAGGGAACGCCGGCTCGGAGCGCAGCCTCATCTCTGCTCCTGTGGCCGGCAGGCGGGCAGGTCTCGGTGGCCTATGGCTCCGGCGACCCCTCCTCCTCTCCTGCAGCCCCCTCCCCGCCGGCTCCGCTCCTGACAGATGGCGCAACTGCAACGACACGCCCTCAAATTATTATTTTTGCATTCCGGGAAATGTTCTCCTATTAGTTCTTATAAAAAATTAATGTTTAATTCATATAACCTAAAAGTCAACCCTCTGAAGCACACAATGAACTGGTTTTTGTATATTCACAAAGCTGTGCAACTATCACCAATATCTAGTTTTAAGAACATTTTCATCACCTCCAAAATAAGCCGTGTACCCATTAACAGACACTAGATCTCCGTTTTCTTCCTTTCTGACTCCCTGGCAATCAATCACTAATCTTTCTGTGTCAATGGTTTCATTTATCCTGGGAACTTCACATAAATGGAATCATAGAACATGTGGCCTTTGTATCTGATTTCTTTCACTTAGCCTAAAGTTTTTAAGATTCAACCATATTGTAGCATGGGTATATTAATACTTCATTCTATTTTATGGATGAGTAATATTTCATTGTATTCACATACTATACTTTATGTATCCACAATTCAACTGTTTTTTAAATGAGTTTGTTCTGCCCATTTTATTTTTCAGTTCTCTTCTTTTGACACTTCTACTAGGTAAATATAAGGATTCTATTGATTCTCTATGATTTTAACTTTTCTTCAGTATTTTTGACTTCTTCTCTCTTTGCTAATCATTTTGATAGACTTCCTTGATTTTATTTTTCAGCCCTTCTGTTATAGGTAAATATTTTAGCAGTCATACTTTTAATTTTCACTAATACTTTCTTATCTTCTGGTTGTTCCTTTTTAAAATAAGCCTCTTTTATTTTACTTTTGCTTTCACGACATTTAGTTCACATCTATTGAGCACTTAAGTAGCTCTCCTAGGTTGATGCAAGACACTTCCAAATGTCTGATCTAGAGAGATAAGGGAAGTCTTCCTAGGTAGACATACCCATTGTGCTGTGAATTAAATAACATAAGCTCCTTTGGGTGCCTGAACCTACTATGATCTTGGTCTATGTTCGGACCAAGAACCCTCTGCTTCTGAGTCAGTCAGCATAATGCCTCTGCTAAGGCAGCCGGCTTTCTGTTTGTCACACTCTGTGCTGTCGGAGAAGCAAACTCTCCAAAACTGCTGCAGACCAAGCTGTATGTCAATGACTTTAGCCTTCTTTCCTTCCAAGGTCTGGTTTCTTTTTTGAAGTTCAGGTTTATTGAGGCATGGTTCACCAACAGTAAAATATATCCTTTCAAGGTGTTCAGTTTGATGATTTTTGATAAATGTACACAGGCATGTTACTTCCACCATTATCAAGATAGAAAATAGTTTCATCGACCTCAATAGTTCCCCTGGGTTCTTTTCTAATCTCTCACCTCCCCCCCCCATTAAGTTTATTGGTACATTTTAGGTATAAAATACAGTTACATTCATCATTGGGATCTTGTACCTTTACATGAGTATCTTGGTTCTTATTTTTTTCCCTTTCCCTTGACCTCCCTTCACACCCTCCACTGTTCCCTATTTGAAAAGACCTTGTTTCTATTTTTTTTTCCTCTTCTTATATTTTTTCCTTTTCCCTTTTTCCCTTCCCCTACCCCTCTCAATTCCCCTGCTCTTTTAGACCTTTTCTTCCTGTTACACAATATCAGTTATACATTTTTTAAATTACAATATCAAGATCTAGGAGACATTACCACAGATTTTATAGAATTTAAAAGGATATAGAAAGCATATTACAAAAATATTTTTTGAAATAAATTTGACAACTTCTAAGAAGTAATTTGGAAGACAAATTAATGAAACTAACTCTGGAGGAAATATAAAATTTGAATAGCACCTATTAAAGAAAGTATATTCCTAGCTTAAAAACCTACCTATATGACAACAGCAGGCTCATAAACATTTTAACTGATAAATTATATCAAACAATTAAAGCAGAAAAAAGAAGGAACAGTTCTCCCATCATTTTAGGAACTCAACATTCTGCTAATCCTAAAACTGGATAAAGATAATAGAAGAAAAAAGTATGAACATAGATAGAAATATGTTTAACAAAACAAACTATTGGAAGTCAGATCTGGCAGGATGTAGAAAGTGGTTTTGTTATAGGGATGGCAGTGTTGCTTCAGCATTGGAAGATCCACCCCCAAAAGTCATTATTTAAACAGAGGAAAGGAAAAAGCCATATGATCCTGTCACTAGTTGGAGAAAAAGTATTGGACCAAATTCTACAGCTGTTCATGGTAAAAGCTATCAGGAGACTAAAAGTAGAACAGAAACTTCTGAACAGATTAAAGACGTGTACTCCATACTTCCAGTGAGAACGCCTTATATAAATGGAGAAGATACAATGCTTTCTCCTTAAGGTGGGGAACAAGGGCAGATATGCTTACTCTTTATCTGTCCATTAAACTTTGAAACCTAGGCCCCACCAAAATAGTCTGGCAATAAAATTACACAATTAGGATAGGACAGGCAAGGTAGAAGCAAAATCTTTATATGTAGATGAAATGATCATCTACAGAGAAAATACTAAGAAATCTCTAGGAGCCCCTAGAACTTGTACTTGAATTTAGCAGGTCTAATCTCTCATCTTGATGGTAGACTTCTTCAGTGTTTGGTGATCGATGGATGATGCACTGTCCTGGGTTTTCCCTGCTCCTGTGTTTGCTTACAAGCTTTTGCTGACCCTCAGGTCTGAGAGGTCTGACTGTCACCTCTGTCGGTGGGATAGAGCTATTCCTTGAGGATATGTGGGTGTGGAGGAGGAAGGCAGCTCAAATTCCACAGTCTCTTAATTGCTTTGATATAAGGGGATTAAAATGCAGTGGGAGGGACTACCTGCACCAGGTATTTCACAAATAGTCCTTTAATCAATTATCCCAACTATTGTTTTATATCCTGCTGTGATTTGTTTCTTGTTAGCTACAAATTTAGGGTCTCCCAGGACTCTTCCATAGAGAAGGCTCCCACTTGTGCTACAGGTTTCTTTCAAATTTTCCTCTAGGCCTCCATTTTATTTGCTCTGGCTTATACAATAATGTGGTTCTGTCTTCTCTTTGTTACCAAGAAATTCACCAAAATATATTCCTCACTGATAGCCTTCCCTGTCAGCACAATGGTGTCTTGCCTTTACTCCTATTTTATTTCTTTACTATACATGTCATGTGACCTTGTGGGGGAGACATGGACATGTGTGCTCGATGTGCCATCCTGATGTCTAAATCTTAGGATATACATTGTACATTCACAGGTCAACAAGTAGTCACATTACTCAGTGTCTTTCAGATGAAACACTTCTGCAGGAAAAAGAAGTATGATCTCTATGTGTGAGAAATCACCAAGACTCATGCTACCATTAACTGGCTGCATTCAAGCTATTTAGTTTTTTTTTTTTTTAAGTAAAATAGAATCTTAATAAAAAGAAAAATGAATAGACGCTCACAGGTAATTTTAAGAAGTGTCCCAAAGACACTTGGATTTTGACATTTAGAGAAGTTTAGTTTTAGCCTTTCTGTAAACATGGCCTGACAGTAGGTTGCCTCACCAACTTCATTTAACATTCGGGAAACTGATGAAAGCTACTATGAAATGTTTACCAAGGGAGATCCTGGAACAGGGCAGCTTGATCTGGGCCACAGAAAATTTCAAAAGGGAATAAAAACATTATAAGAAGATCTATTCTACCAAAGCAGGAGTCAGTTGAGTCACTGTCCCAGTCACAGGAAGATGTGCTCCTTGTACCTGCTCTGGGGACACTTCCTGTTTCCTGCTCCACATTCTTGCAGGAAGGCCCCAAGCTGGTCTAGGACTAGAATAAGTACTTTGACAAGCACTATCAGTACTGGCATATCATGTTTCCTATAGGAGCTTTCAATTAAGTACTCAAACCCATGTGACATCTGAAGAGGGGCAGAGGAGACGGCACCCTCCAGTCCAGGCCTGATTCACTGCATGACTCATGGACCAAGAGCTTGTATTCTCCTCCTTACAGGCCTCTTCCACAAGATCAACAAAAATGAGGTATTATAGCTGGAGATTGTCAATTATATCTTTTTCAAATTTAATGTGTATGTGTATGTAAAGCAGTATTCAATGAATCCCTTAAAAACATACCAACATCATCCACTCCTGTGTATAAACTCTCTTCTTCACAGCACCAGAGCGTGGCTAAAGGCAACTGCTGGCAGGTTAGGTGTTTAAGATAGAATTTCTTCTAGCCAGTTGTTCTCTTACTATATATAAGTGCCTGTTTGACTTTACTGTTACTTTTGTTAAATAAAGTTTGTACATTGCATTAAAAAAAATCTACTCGAGTGGGTAGAAAAGTATAGAATACACAATGGATCATCTTGGCTCATACTAACTTTCTGAAAGTCCTTAGAGAAGAAGTCATTTAAAAACAAAACTAAAACATCTATTTCTCATTCCAAACCACAGATTACCACTGAGATAGTATTTTCTTCTCTTCCTTAAAAATTCAAGAGGAGTTGGAGAGGCTATAAAAATAGTCTATGTTGGATTTGTAGAGAAGCATCCGGGGGCAGAAATCTTGGGTGAGTGGACTGCCATCTCCTCCCCTGAGCTCTCGGAGTTGTAACATTTTGGCAATGAGGACTCTTCCCCCAGAGCGGAGGGAGAGGAAGACACCACAGGTGTTACACCTTTTAGGTCAGGCTG